CACACACACACACACACAAACACACGCACATACACACATACATTTACGCACAATCACATACACATGTACACGTATATTTTATTAACGCATGCATCAATAATGTATAATCAATAACTATGTGAGACTGAATAACTCAGGGAATCAGATTGGATGGTTTGTGGGGGCTTTCCTATACAACATCTATCGTCTTTATCTCTCCTTCTTCTTGTAAGTGTTTTAGTTTAGTAAAAGCTTTACGGCGCTCGCAACTGCATAAGGTCATATGAGCGCGCTGTTTGTGTTTAATACCCTCTTGTAACACCTCTAATATTCGTAACTTGATTGAGCTACTTTTGTTGCATTCAAGTGCCATGAAACTCTTACGAAAACAAAACAAAAAGGGCAAACAGACAGAAGGACGTGCTGTATCCACAACTACTGACCTGTCCATCTGTGTTGATCTGTCCACCGCAGTCGGTCAGCAGCTCAGACATGTCGAAGTAGTTCTCGAACTTCCACAGGCACGACTCCAGGTCAAGATGCCTGTCAATGAGAGCAGAGCCAATGGGGAGCGGGGTCAGTGTGGACTTACAAGAGAATAGCTGAACTAAACTTATGATAAAGATGATGATGATGATGATGATGATGATGATGATGATGATGATGATGATGATGATGATGATGATTATATAATGCCTGTTACTGTTGTTACATAACGGATCGGGATCTAGACAGTATATTCCTTTTAACCAGTAGTTACTTTGTGGTTACAGTGCCAAAATCAGAAGGGAGGGAAGTAGTAGGCTCTACTTGGGCAATCTACTTCCTCTATGTCTACTGCCCAGGCAAAGCTGTGTCATGTATACTGCTTTAAGATCGTCTGTCAAGACGCAAAATGCCATCACAATACTGTATTAGAGGACAAAATAAAAATATAGAGCCATTTCAAGTGGGTGTTTTTCACACACTCTCTCTAAATCTGTTTGTTCTCACAAGCCGAGCAATAATTATGTGAGGCATCGTGGTCTAATTGCAGGCACTCGCACAAAATAATAGAATGGACGAAAACAGTATTTTCCGGATCGTTGGGCAATTTGTATCGAATTTTCTTTTTTGGGCTCAACACCTTTTGTGTCCATTAAAAACACTCCAGTTTCTAAGGACTCTCAAGCTTTGGAAGTCACCAAACTTTGATGGCCATTTCCTCGGTTATTTTACCTGTAGGCGACCCCTAACTTCTTTAAATGCAAATATCTCAGCTTCTATTCAAGATAGACGTGTATCTTTTTCATCAAAAGCAAGACGAATGAACAAGCTTTAAGATGATATCAGTAACTCCGTCTGCCCAAAAGTTGACGAGCGCCTCATTCCACCACACATCGTGACACATATATAACAACATTGGTCTGAGTTACCTCTCTACCTCAGAATTACAAAGTTCTATCTGATATTTGGCCGTTTTGAGTAAATGAGGCCAGAAACACAAATATGTCTGCTCTATAAAAAAAACGTAAGAGTATTCGGAGTCGTCCAAATATTCCAAGAATTGC